CCAGCGTTTGTCATTAAAATTTTCGCGTGTTTTTCAATCGCGATATAATTAGTCTGTTTTTCCTAGCCAACAAATACACATAAAATTGTTGTATACATACAATTAGACAGTTGGAACAATATCGTTGTATCTAAATATACTAGAGTTGTTATTCATCACTGGTCCCTAGCAGACTAATGCGCAATAATCGTGAGAGCAAACGCGGAGTAGTTCGAGGGGAACGGGGATGCTCGAGCATGTCAGAAGTCGATAAAGGGCGCGTGGGAGGAAGAAAAATATACGAGAGGAGTTGGAGACAGGCAGGGGGAGTGCGGACAAGCCCAGGATTTACAAGGGAAGTTTCGCTCCGGTCCTCGAGCTAACGCTGTCGATCTATCACTCACCGACTCCTCTCCTCGTTCCTCTGAGAGTCGTTCACTGCGCCGGAGTATCTTTTTTGAGAGAATCGACGAGGTGAGAGTAAACGTGGAAAGAAATTCTCGAGGGGGAAGTTTAAAAACGGGTAGCCGGGCGTAATAATTTTGTTCGCGCGAAGGACGCTTATGTTCGGGCGTATGTTTCACCAGCGGCGAGAATGGAAGGAGCACGTGTCAGGGTGAACGAGGATGGGGAGGAACGAGCGGCGGCGGCGGCGGCGGTCCGGACAGTACTTTGTTCGATTGTTTCAGCCTGCGCGACTCTTCGCGTGGTGGGTTCCCTCGGAAACTGTATTGTAAATCTTCCAGCGGCACGATGCGCTGCGGTGGTCTCTCCGCAGGCGATACTGGCGCAAGTTTGACGTTTTAAATTTAAGTTGGAATCAGGACGCGCGCGCCGCGATTACCATTTAAATTACCGCTTGTCTAAAGTCTAAACTAAACCCGTGGACGTTCAGTTCCTCTTCGTTCCCCGGCATGAGATACGAACTCGCGAGGAGATTTCCCGTAACGGCTTCGTCCCAAAAACGCAATCTCTCCGGTGTTATTTTGATAAGGAACTCTAGATCACATTCATTGAGGTATAATCGTCTGAGTTCATTCCGCGTAGCGATGATTTAACGGGAGTTCGTTGAAAACTCGCGCACGAAAAAATTCATGTTTGCGACAAGGTATTCGCGAAACGAAACGGGCAAAGCCCGGACGCGGCAATTAGTTCCACGCGTGGCTCGTTAACGAGGCCAAGAAAAGGAAAGGGAAATTACTGGCCTCAGCTTCCACGGTTTTCTACGCGTTTGACGACCGTTCCGTGCACTATGTAGAGGCGACGTTGTCGAAAAATTTCTCGTGTAAAGCGCCCGGGTATAAAGCAAAACGAGAAAGAGAGAGGAGGAGGGGGGGAGAGGAGAAAGAGGTGAGTAGCGACGAAAAGTGGGCCGTCGCTTTTAGCGATTTTATGATATTTTCAAAGGCAGCGTTGTTCCCGCCACGCTCGTGAATCCCTGCAACATGCCGTCTTCCATTGAGCGCACGTTTCCAGCTACACTTCTTTTCCTTGTTCCTGCCTTTTTACAATTTTCTTTACCTCCAACCGAATCGAGGACTTTTGAGGAAATGAGAACGATCGATGATAAACATACGCCATTCTTTGATTTTAAGCGTCATTTTATAAAAAAAAACTTGCCGTGATTTTGATTTTATAAGCGTTCTGACAATATTTTCGACTTAATTATAACTTATAAATTGAACGTTCATCAAGTTTTCTGAAAGATCTAATCGGACCGTTTCTATGCTGTCTATTCCGTAGTTCGGTAGCATAGCTCAGCAGTGCATTTTATACGTACGCTGCTTTACATATATGCACACGTATGAGGTCATGCATAAACCGGCTTCAAAGGTTGAACGGTATCCGGGAATATCGATTTTTGTTAAGGGGAAATTCACTTTCCCTTATTTTTCATTTTTTAACCAAGGGCCAACGATTGTCGAGTCGGGATGAACGCGATGTTCCGTGGTCCCGCATCGAAATGGGAATCGGATGAAGCGAGTAACAAACGCGACGGTGCGTGGAACTAGAACGAACAACGCGGATTTAATCGCGAACAATGCGGGGCCCGTCTTCACGCGTTCGAGCTGTCCATTCTCTTTTTTCCCATTCACGATTATTTCGAGCTCGTGTGTAATTTTAATTGCGAGATAGAGTGGGACTCGTTTTCTATGCGAATTAGAAGTAGGATCGATAACGATGATCGTGACTCATTCTTTTTAATTAGGAATCCCCGGTTGATGAGTGCCGAGGAGTGAGTCTGTGAACCTAACCGCGTTACGAGCCCTTGTCATCCCCATGCCGCTAACGAGCTCCGCTTGAAATTCCGCCGGGCGCAATTCCGGTTGGATGTGAAAAATTTTCGTTTCTTCCGGCGTTCCTTCCTTTTGCGCCGATATTAAACTGCTTTCACACGGATATTCACAGTCTCGTTGACATTACGACGATTGTTTTCTACAATAGCGTCACACAAAGTAATGATTTTCGAAACGGTGTATAAAAGCACTTATAAAATTCAGAAAATGTTTGACTTCAGGTCCCTAACATTTATCTGTGATTCATTTCAATACACTTTTATCTTCTTCAGAATTTTATACATACCTACATAACATTTTTTAAAATGGTTCATTGAAGGGGGCAATTCTTTATAAATATTGCTCTAAGACTTAATTAATGATCAAATTGTTGTCCGTACTGTCTATTTGAGGGAAAGGCAATTAGATCCGTACTGTGAAATTTTATTCCGAAGCACGTAACCCATACATCGCGCGGTAGCGGCGTTAGTAAAGAAAAATAGCTCATCGCGATTGTTCGCGACAAGAACGGATAGAGCGAGACGCGTGAGGGCAAAGTGCACGGAACGGGGAAAGTTTGGTCTTTTGAAAGGCGGGGCATAAACAAAGACAAAGTGGAGGAGCCAGTGACAAAAGAACTTGCGAGTCGAATGCAGTGGCTGTCGGTACGTGGGAAGGAGGAGTAACGTCTTGAAGAGCGAGCGCGTGGTCTCCTCGAGTGGGCTACCTTACAAAGAACGCGACGGCTAAGGAGAATCGATCCCGGAACGTTCCGCGCCGGAAACGTCGCGAGGAGAGCTTCTGGCTTCGGCAACAACCAGCTGGCCACAAGTCTGTCTGTTTACTCGTCGAAAGCATTCCATTCCGGCAGCTTTACTCTTTTCAGTTACACCGCCACCCATAAGTACCATTTGCACAATTAATGACAGAAGTCAACAGACATGCCAACAGTACTCCATTCAAGTCTAGCAGAAAAATTAGAAATGTCGAAATTGTTGATAGCGTGCATACCCGTGTGTGACATTTTCGTATCATATCACCACTGAGTATCATTCTAAACGGGCAAATATTATTTAAATAAATTATACAGCTGCAATCACGGAACAAGTCATACAATAATTTAACACTAGAAAGACTGAAACTTAGTATATACCTATATTGCCCAAAGCAGTCAAAATGACTGCAATTGTGAAAGAATAATGTGTAAAGAAATTTGTTTAAAATTAATTTTTAATATTTTTTATATTATTTACAGTCATATAACAAGTTATTAGTAAATGTTAACAAAAAAAAGAATTTACTTCGCTAGGGAAAAAAATAATTTATGCATTATTATTTGTATATTTGCCCCAAAAGCAGTCAAAATGACTTCCTTGGGCAATCTAGTGTTAATGCAATCCAATTTTGGATGCAGTTCCAATTTTTGTACACTGGATTTCGACATCGCAAAAACCTGAATAAATATTTCGCTACGTAACTCATCGATTAAAATACTTAAGATTTTGCGTATATTCTCACTTGCCAAAATAAACGCAGGCGTGATACGAAGATGTGAACGACAGGTGGACACACACTTCAAGCGCAGTGTATGAAACGCGATATCGCGGTTAATTCGATTCGGAAATTAATTGCTTCAACCGAAAACCGGGAAATGGACCGCGTGTAATTTAATCAAGCTATACCGGAGAGGAGGGGGGGGGGAGGCGTAACGCGAAACGATTCGAGCAAGCGTAGGATCACCCACTGTTAGAAGCCTCACTGGTCTATTAGGAAACTGAAGCCACTTCTCGTGTTCGAATTCGGTTTCCTCGGTTCAGTCATACCCCTCGCGAGTTCGATCCTAAGGGTGCTCGTGGTTCCCCTGGAGTCTCGTCGCCTTATAGGCGGTGAACTTTCTGGCGCTCTTCCCTGCCGGGAAACATTGTTAACGTGTTCCGACGCGTAACGACGACGCACAGAAAGGAGGATATCGATAAAGTGTCGAAACACGTCCGACGCAGTTACGAAACGTGGCGCGACGCGACACGGAACAGCGGAGATTGGAGAGTCAACGGAACACAAAAACCATCGATCGTAGTTAACGCCACTTTATACAGCTAATGAAAAAGTTCTCAGTCGAGTCGTGTAAAGGAAGGATGATCAAGCGCATCCTTTCCCGACCATGACCGAATGGCTGACCGTGTTTTTCTTTTCCCTTTGATTCAACCAGTAAGAATAAATGAACATACGGTACATAATTCAGCCGAAAACCACACGCGGTCTACTGTACCTTAGACGAGTAAACAATCAAACGTACAAGAGAATAATTCAGTAACGTAAACTTACACGGAACCGGAATAATTTGATGCAATTCACTTTTCCGGTTGACTCGACCAAAGGTTTCTTGCACGATCGTAAATAAAAATATCGCCGCCCTCAGCTCCCTGGAGTGAAATTTTGAGCATCGATGAAATCTCCAGGATTGGCCGATCCCGGGCGAATCTTCGATCTTCGGATACCGAGTTTTCCCGTGGCTCTCCGACGATCAACAGACCGTGACGAAGGACAGAGTGGTCGTCTTCGACGGAGCGTATGCGTGAATCGAATCCGAGTATCTCGATTGTCAAATGCGCAGCGGATCGGTGTGCGGGTTGGACGGCTTGTGTCGCGAGGCGCAGAAGCTCAGCCCGAAGCAGAGCATTAACAGCGCAACCGAGCCAACCAGCAGGTGGCTCGACCATGACACGGAACACTTTCCTGAAACAGATGAGATACGTCTGTCAACGGGTTGACGTGTCCCGTCCAACCTGTATCCTGTCTACCCCCCAACGGTGTCTCTATTCTCGTCCTCCATCATTACCGCCTCCTGACACCGCGAGACTGCCCATTGTTATCAGATTGTCGCCAAGCGACAAGTTACCTGTCTGTCTATTTGCTTTCACTATCTCCCGACGTTACCCGTTCACTAACTGCGCACACGAAATAATAGCAGAACGTATCTCTTATTCGCAGAGTCGACTTCAACGGTGGCACATAGGAATGTCAACAAGAGCAAAGATAGCGTTATCTCGGATACAAATGCCTAAACACATTGTTGCGGAGGTATAAAATTATCGTGTATTTGCCCTGTTAACCCTAATTGTTTTGCCATTGCCAGAACTGTTAACAGCACCCCCGTGCGCAATCGTGCAATCCACGCTCGTTTACGAATTCCCGGCGAGCCACGCGCGTCCGATTTCGCGCGGTAAATTCCCACCGTTACAGGATTTACACGCGAAGTTTGATCGTTTATTCGAGTGCCACTACCGGTGTAAAATTTTCTCGCACCGCCCACCCTGCCGGGAAGAAAAACGAGGTGGAAGTGGTTGAAAGTGGCTGGTCCGGAATCGCGAGAAAATCAAGGATTACTTGTCGCTGACGCGGCTCGCAGTTTCGCCAAGTTACAACCGCCATAAGTCTCGGTACTGAGTTACGTAAGGTTTCCGGGAACAGGCTAGTACGTACGTAGCTCGCGCCGAAACGTTCCCGGGCATTAGAATTCGCCACCGAAATGCGCAAACTTCCAACGGAATGAACCTCGTTACATTTGTAGGATGTATGCAGGTAATCCTGTCGCCCGTTCCACAGCTTTTTCTATACCTCGTCAAGGGGGTAGAATTTCGCCTAACGACACCAGTTCAGCCGAAGTAAATTCGCTGAAAAGAACGCCCCGCCCGAAATCAACGGTTTATTCAATGCCGGATCGTCCGTTTAATCTCGCTTCGAGAAGACTTTCCGAGGTTTAAGACGCGAATCGAGAATCGTTAGAGGAGACGACTGAAACACGGAGTGTAAATCGCGATTCGTGCCCGCAGGAACTACTTACCGAGATTGTATACATTAGCACCCTTCCCACAGGACTCGCGTACCTCCCGGTTGTCCCATCCTATGGGATACATCACCAGGCCACCGCATATCATCACTGCTGTAACGAGAAAATAGCGGTACAGTTAAACCGGGTCAAATCCCTCGACTTTAACATGTACCAACTATAATTTCAGCTTATGCATTAATCACGAAGCTTGCATAAAATATTCTACGAGCAAAAACGTCTTTCTCTTCTTAACACTAGAACTATAGGTGATTGACGTGTATCTGCTTCTACCGGAGGGGTCAAAATGACTTGATTTTCAAATTAATAAGTCACAAGAAAAGACAGCAATTTTTACGGTTTTCTAAGTAAAAATTGAATAATAAATTGATAATGATAATGATAATGATAATGATAATAATTTAATAAATTCTGTGAGGGTCAAAATTACTCATTTCGTTATGTGCAGGTATACTGCATAAAATTTTATATTAAAAAGACAACAAAAAGGAAACTGTTTTACAGAATAAGTTATTTGCATATTATAGAAAACGTTATACAAAATTTTAGAAACGTACTGAAAATTAATAATAATTATAAGAAATACCAAACAAGTCACTTTGACCTCCCTTGGTATATCTCGTGTTAATCAGTTGACCTGAAAGTAATGTCTGATGGTCAAGCACGTCCTTTTCTGTTATCCCCTTTACTTTCCAGCTGGTTTGACTCCTTCCCTTTATTGCAATAATGCGATGTTAACAACGCGATACTCTGAAACGTTAATCGTTGCGAATTTGGCTGGGAGGCTAAACTATATAAAATTGGAAACGTGTTCAAAATTTCCGGCTCGACGAACGGGAGAAAAACGAGTTTCGGATCAACGATAATTAAAACTAGAATATACCGAGGTCGGCTATATTAAACAAATACTGTTCGCGTATTCCCCTGAATTTTATTAATAACGAGGGCAGGGGAGGAGAAAACTAACAGGGAGGCAAGGTGAAAAGGCATTTTTAAAGCCAGGGACGAAGTTGAGGAGCAGCGAACGAGAAAATGGAACGTGTCAACGTTTGAAAGAAGAATGATATTCGAGTAATATCCGTTTTCCTTGTGGACAGTTCGTTGTCTAGCTGTGTTTCCCGTGAAACACGTCACGCCGCGTCTTTCCATTACCTCGCGAACAGTAGACAGTCCTATTAACGTTTCCCACTTTCCCTCCCTCCCCTGTCCAGTCTTCTGTCTCTCGGACAGCTTTCAACATTTTATAATATACATTAAACGTTATTCAGCGCCTTGCGTGCAATTGAAGGCAACATTGAGACAATAGAAACATACTCCATTAGTCACAGGACACTCGAGTACTTCAATCAAATAATTGTTATTATCGCGAACGATCATTAAAAAATAAATATAATTTCCTGCACTGATTTTATTAGCATAAAAGTGGCTATATTGACTGTCTAGTAAATTCGGTTCACAAAAGTGAACATTCCTGTGGTTGTACTCACTTCTGTTACAACTCGTGTACTTACTATTGAGTGTATAGCAACAATCACTTCATACAGAACTTGTGAAATCTAAGAGTCGATTTAGTCTATCCCGGGGATCTATCAGACGGTATGGAGCAAAACCTATTGTGAAGTCTATTACACCGCGAGCTATTGTAGAACTCGGTGTCGAACTTATTGCGAAACTTGGTATAGACCGTGTTACGAAGCTCATTGTCGAGTCCGAGGCGCGAGCTTGCTAGCGCTCGCCCTCGCTCCGCCCCGCCTTATTCAAGTTTATCGCGAACGCAGCGTGAGAGGGTTGCAACCTCTTACAGGCCGCATTAATTACGGATCACGTTCACCCTTCCCTAGAGAATGCTTGAGATCTATGGTCGCGTCTATTTTCCCCGCTGACTTTTTAGCCGTTATTGCTTTTGAGACAGAATAAACCAATAGAAGGAAACGCTGATAGAATGATAGATAGCGTTTCTTTTCCTTCGTTATTAGTTGCCAGCCTATTATAAAAGGATTCTGTAATCGTAACTGTGTAACTATTTCTTACATACCAAAAAAATCATGGAATAATCATATTTTAATGAAAGTTTATTGAAAATATTTTTACCGAAGAACTAATGCAAATAATAGGGAAATATATTGGCGAAGCTTAAAGTATAGGCGAAATGATACAAACTTTTTCTTTCTCCTTTTCTCCCTCGCCCACGTGAGAGAATAATGTTCGGGATCAAAATCCGGCAGCAATCGGTCGGCTGTAAGTTTTACGGTAATGAAACGACACCGAGGCCGCGAAAACGGCCATGGAAATGCGTTGCGTTCGGAACGATCGGGCTTTTATTCTTCCGTGAGAAGAGGGATACTAGCGCGAGTTTTATTTCACGCTGGAACGGACCGAGCGTAATCGGCTCGATAGCAGCTACTCGCTTGAACAAACGGAATGATGTTCCCCCGCGCCTCGCGCCGGAGGGAATAAATTTCGAATTGCCTGGAGAAACCAACGCGAATTCTGCGCTTTAACGTTCTACCTAATGTTAACGCTTTCACAAGCGGATGGAAGCAGTCTGGCTAAATGAATTTCTCCACCGAAACGCAGAAAATGTGGTAAAATTGGATTATCCTGTAAATTGTGTTGGAATATATTCATATAAATATTCGAAAAGCTTAACATACTGTACGAACACATATATGTATATCGTAGCTTCATTTTTTTAATAATGTAACAAAATCTATACGTTTTATAAAAAATGATTTCAGCTCCTAATTGGCAATATATGCAAAATGAAATGATATCGATTCCAAATATGAAATGTAGTCTGTATCTGGTTTCTGATAATTTACTTTTCATATATTTTTGTACATTACATTCTTTGTATAATTTTCTTTTATCTCGAATACTTCAGGACGAATCGATTAAGAATGTATTAGCTATACAGTCAATCCCAAAAGTTTATGCACTTTAGAAACGCATTTTTTAAAAAGAAATCAGATGTCGGAAGAACATTGCTAATAATAAACAACAAAAAAAAATTTTCGATTTTTCCGAGATTTTTCCAAGGGATACCCCTTCAATTTCTTCCAAATTTTCGTTTTTGGCCAATAACTCC